TTAAGAACCCGGCCTTTGCGGAGAACCATGCATCTTTTGGCGAAACTTGACCAACAGTGGATGCGATCTTTGTATTCGCATACATAGCGCGAGAGATCTACCACCGTGTTCTTCCGCTGGCCATTCGGCTCCACCGCGGTCGAGCCGACCCCGGCTTCAACGCCCATCCGAGGTGATGGCTCTCCTCCGCCCGGGCTGGTTCCGGCTCTCCGTTCCTCCTTCTGCATCGTGTTCTCCATGTCCTCTACTCCATGGGTCCCGACTGCTCTTCCATGGGCCACCGCTGCGGCACTCGTCTGGACGAAGACGTCCCCGCCCCGGGGCCATCCCACACGAAAATACAGACCGCCTGGGGGACATACTACGATGAAACTGCGTGCTCTATTCTGATGATCGCCCTCAGTCGGTGTTGAATTTGAGGACACACATTAACTCATCATGTACTCACCGGAGGCGAGGGCGACCAGTGTCACGAGCACGGTTCCGAGGACCAACCACCATTTCCAAGAAATCTGACTACAGACCCGCCAGCGCCGCTGCACCGGCGTGCCGACATCCCCGCGTGCTTCCGCATCGGGAGCCGTGGCCAGTTCTATTTTCTCCATCGGGCCTTCAGAAGTCACCAGCTTTGCCGACTCTTCTTCTGCCGGAGGCACGCTCGGCACAGCTCGTCGGTTACGAATGAACCTCCGCAGACCCTGAAGCGCTGCTCGGACGGCTGTGCTGCCCGCCCAGGCTGCCCAGGCCCAAGCGATCGAGCTGACACTCCATCCTCTCATCGAGTCCGACGCATCAAGAAACTCTTCTTCTCCACCGGCAGGATCGGATAACTTCACTCCGCTCTCCATGGCGCTCTCGCTCGGGAGCATGGCACGGCCTGAATTCCATATAACTATGGACAGCGGAATCATCAACCAACGGAGGCATTTGCTTCGGATTCCTTCGGTCACATCCATTTCGCCTTCTCTGAGATCTTCAAACGAAGAACTTCTCGCACATATATTACAACGATTCTAAAAGTTCAAAAGATATGGAAATTTTGCCAAATACCTCTGGATGGTGCTGAACAGCGCTCTGGGATTCCTCGCGAGTTCTTTTTCGCTGGAGCTACCGTCGCAGATGATCTCCGATCACGGAAGTACGCTAACATAGAGGCTAAGGACCTTTTGTACCGCCGATTGACTACGCATCGGCAATTCAACCAATCATTTCAAATCTTCTCTTTCTGGAGTTGTCGTGGAAGCCCCCTGTGATACAAATCCCCCGCTGGAAACTGTTGTGAATTGATGACACTGAAGTCTTTTCCACATTCGCGCTTCACGATCGGGGTTTGCACCTTTTTATTTCGAATTCCACTTCGCCGAGTCCCTTCGTTCACCGAGGGCAGAGAGCGATTGTGATCCGATAGGCGAGCAGGCGGTCTTTAACGAAAAACAGGCGAGAGTGGTCGTCAGGTTGTCGACTACCCTCACTTCTTGTTTTCCGCTCTGCGAGTTCAGACGTGTCTCCCGCGTGCGTGATACAATTCCAATTGGATAAGTTTCTCCGTTCCCATTGATCGGTAAGTCGCTGCCCGTTCTTTTCCAGATTACAGATAATCTTATAAATTACCAAGGTAAAACTCCGGAAATCCTCGAACCAAGCCCATTACATGGCCGGCTCGTAACTGCGCAGCAATCGCGCCGACTCACTCAGACTCCAGCTCGCAAGTCGATCTGATGCCCTTTATCCCTTCGGGAACTGGATGCCAAGTTTCACTTGATGCCACGCCTGAAGCGTGATGCCGGGCCATAAACTGTATGCCCCGACGCTGAAGGAAATATACCGAATACAAATTGTCTAGCACTGCGACAAATTAAGATATCGAACGCTCAGACCCTAAAAGTGAATTCCTTAATTCAAAGTCCATATGTGACCCCGAATCGAATGTGACACCAGACACATCCTTCCTAATGCATAACTTATATCTTCGCTCACGCACGATCCTTCGTTTCGGCGAATTGCAGACCATGAGCGACATTGAACTTTCCGATGACGTCGAAGTCGCGCGCGATCGAAGAGGTCCGACTGGAGGACCCCGTCGCCCCAGAAGTAGAACCTCTTGATAACCCCGGCAACTCGATCTTCGATGGACCTTCTGGACAACTCGAGCGCCCCATCCATAAGCCCAGGTGTGCTAGCTGGCCTCAAACGACTTTTCGACGTGAAGGATACCAAAAAGATGACGGATGACCTCAACACGGTGTATCCCGAGCCACAAGGCTTACAATTTCTCAACCCTGAACCTCTCAAAGACGTAGAGGCTCATCTCAAAGCGAGCAAGTCGTTTCTCGCTCTGAAAGCGGACTCGTTTCTTGTAAAACTAGCAGATGCCCACGCCTTGCTAGCACGTCCCCTCACGGACGCCATGTCATATCTAGAAGAAACACGCGATCCCTCGAACCAAAAATCCTCGCTGAAAGGCTATCGGACATAGCGAAGACGTTAATAATCGCGGCAAAAATCACCGAATCCGCGCGAGTCGAAATAGCGTGCCAAGCCTTCCGTGTGCCGACATCAGCCGCCAAAACAGAAAGAGGATGCTCACTCCTGGGGCCGTCGTTCGCTAAAAATGTAGAACGTCTTCGCAAAGACAAAAAGACCCTACTTGGAGAAGAGTCAACGCCGTCCTCCGGACAAAGATTCCGCCCCTACGCCCGCCCAAGCACGGATCGCAATGTGGCCCGTCGCTCATCGTGGCGCCAACCGAATCGTAACACCGAGTGGTATAACTCATCAGCGAGGCCGAACTCGTCGAACCACTCTGGTTCAGCCCCACGTCATCCTGGAAACTCCAGCAATTCCAACAATGCTTCGCAACCTCCAGCTCCAGGTACCGCATTCCCTTCTTTGAAAGCTTTCGCTTCACAGTGGAGATCTATCACCTCTGACGAATGGATTCTAAGCACGGCACAGGGTTACCGAATTACTTTCCTCACTAACCCCACTCAGACTACCTTACCACACCAAATTAAATTCTCCGTTGACGAGACACGAATCATGGACGACCTAATCGCCGACCTTCTGACCAAAGGCGCCATCGAACATATTCCACATCATCGAGTGCGTTTCCTTTCCAACCTGTTCCTAGTCTCTAAAAAAGGCACCTCAAAGTACCGCCCAGTTATTAATCTTAAACACTTGAACGAGTTCATTCCAACTCATAAATTCAAAATGGAGGGCTGGGGGGAAATCAAAGAAGCAGTCTTCCGAAATTGCTACTTCGCCCGAATTGATCTCAAAGATGCTTTTCTCTCCGTACCGATCGACGACGACAGCCGACCGTTTCTCGCATTTGAGTGGCAACATAACACCTTTTGTTGGTCCCGATTACCCTTCGGCCTCAAGACGAGCCCACGAGTCTTCACAAAACTCCTCAAACCTATCACGGCCAAGCTCAGACAACAAGGCGTAATTCTCATAGTTTACCTCGACGATTTCCTAATAATCGCCAACAGCCCATCCCAACTTACCGACCACACCAAGAAATCCACAGATCTTCTGACATCAATGGGGTACACGGTTAACTTCGAGAAATCCTCTTTGAGCCCCGTGCAACACATCACTTTCTTAGGCTACGAGCTCGACTCGACCACGATGCAACTCTCTGTCCCCATCGATAAACGAACTCAGATCAAGGCGGATTTGAAATCTATATTGGCAAGACCAACTTCTTCCATTCGTTCCCTGTACAAAATCCTCGGGAAACTTAACGCACTCACGACCATAGTTCGCTCCCTACGGTATCACACCTCATCCCTGGCAAAACTAGTATCCTCTTCCTCAAGCAAAACGAGAAACCTGGATTCAATAATACGTCTCCCTCCACACATACACGCCGACCTCCATTGGTGGTTGTTAAACCTCGACGCGGTGGCTACCGGTCCCATTCACCTACCCTTAGTCTCTCTTGAAATCACTTCCGACAGCTCCCTCGAAGGCTGGGGTGCATGGAGCACATATGGCGCCACCGGAGCCTCTTGGACCGACGAGGACCGCCACCTCCACATCAACGCGCTCGAGCTCAAAGCCGTTCTTCTCGCACTACAACGACTAGCCCAAAGATATTGTAACACTTCAATAGCAATACGGACCGACAACACTAATGCAATGCACAGCATTAATAACTTCGGATCCCTACACTCAACAACACTAGACGCTTTGGCTCGAGAAATCTGGTCCTGGGCCTTCGCTCGTAACATCTACTTGAAAGCCACCTACCTACCAGGAAGCCAGAATCAAGTCGCAGACTTGATCTCAAGGACGATTCACGACAACCATAGCTATTCACTGCACCAATCAGTTTTCGACAACTTGAACAATCAGCATGGCCCTTTTGAAATCGATCTTTTCGCCGACTTCTCGAACTTCAAGGTCACTACATATTTCAGTTGGGTCAAGGACCCTTTCGCTTTCAGCGTCGATGCTTTCTCCTCCCGATGGGACTCCTGGAACAACTTATATGCATTCCCTCCCTTCAAACTCGTTGACCGCACCCTTTCCTATTTAGACGCATTCTCAGCATGTGAGCTCACCCTAATCTGCCCACTATGGCCTACACAGCCATTCTTCCCAAGGTTACTCCATCGCTGCATCGATCATCCGTTGCTCCTCCCGTCGTTCGAGGAACTTCTACTCGATCGGGAAGGGACTCCCCACCCGCTCCTACAACGCCAGAAACTACAGCTAGTCGCCTGGCGCCTAGCATCACTCCTCTCTCGGAAAAAGCGACACAATTTCTGGAAGGGGCTATCCGTCCAAGCACACGAATCGCGTACGATACATGCTGGCGTCATTGGTTACGTTGGTGCGAACAACGAGCTTCCCCTACACTTAAGGTGTCTGTGAACCAAGTCTGTAATTTCCTCGCTGACATGGCCTCGAACGGTTACTCATACTCATCGATAAATACATTCCGCTCCTGCTTATCTTTGAAACTTCATCCCACTGATGCTTTCGAAATGGGGAATCATCCGACCGTTTGCCGACTCATGCGGGGCGTTTTCAACCTCCAACCACCGTCGAAACCAAAGCCACCGGTTTGGGACGTCGAACTACTGTTGAGCTTTATGGACACCTGGGGTCCTTCCGACTCTCTGACCTTGCCACAGACAACATGCCGTACACTTCTCCTTCTGCTCCTCACGTCGGCCGCACGTATCGGTGAAATCGCCGACCTCCAGTATCCACCTTCCTCCCGCCAACCCCACCGATGGGAATTTACCTACGGCCGTGGCCTAACCAAAACCAGCAGACAAGGTCAACACGCACCCACATTTGTCGTAAAGCCTTACCCACCCAACCACCTCCGCTGCCCAATCACAGCCCTCACAGCTTACGACATTCTTACATTACCCCACCGTCCCGTACCCAGCTCATTATTCTTAACCTCCCGCAAACCATACCGATCCGCCTCCAAAGACACGTTGGCACGTTGGGTCAAAACGACGATCCACGCCGCCGGAATAGACGCCACACTATACACCGCGCACTCGACAAGAGCCGCCTCCACCACCGCCGCACACACCCGCGGCCTACAGCTTCCGGATATCCTAAAAACAGCGCAATGGACTCGAGCCACAACCTTCTATAACCACTATTACCGACCCCCTCCCCAACGCCAATGTCCTCAGCCGTGCTTGATCCACAACGTCAAAATCGCTCTCTGCCCTCGGTGAACGAAGGGACTCGGCGAAGTGGAATTACTCAGTCTAGTCGACTCACGAAGTGGGAAGACTTGGCTGGAATTCCATGAGAAGAGGGAATGAGTTCACCGAGGGCTCCCTCCCGTTCCCAAACCCGCACTCATAAATAAGTCCATATTCCATTATCCACAGGCACGTCGCGCACTCAAACCAAGCCGCACGTAGCTTCGGACACAGTCAGCCAGCGCATTCTAGGCCGCGAAGCGCTTTTAACGATGGATACAACTAGGATCCCATTCCTCAATCATAGACCTACACACCTGGCAGCATCTCATTCCGAGTAAGGAAATAAGCTGATCCACAAAAGGTCGCCCGATCGAAAGCGCACGATCAAAACCCACAAACATACTCGTATAGAAAAATGAGCTCTCAAGCCGAACATCTTCCACTCGAAGAACGTACCATAACTCTACGCCCCATTCCTGCGTTTCCACACGCACAATTGTGTTAATATACTATTCTCACCATCCTATGCTGATAGTTAGCATACGTGATACAACCCGCCGACAGCACCGGCGCAAGAAATAAACGTTGTTATTCTAACCTATACCATTTTCCAATCCCTGATCAATAGGTAAAGTTAGTTACGGGCAGCGACATTCATTTTTTCCCAGCTCCTCTCCGCGCGTCAACCAACAAGTGAGGGTAGTCGACAACCTGACGACCACTCTCGCCTGTTTTTCGTTAAAGACCGCCTGCTCGCCTATCGGATCACAATCGCTCTCTGCCCTCGGTGAACTCATTCCCTCTTCTCATGGAATTCCAGCCAAGTCTTCCCACTTCGTG